TGAGAGAGCAACAATGCAGATGGATAGATGAAGCGAGACACTGCACCCAACTAATTAAAACAGAAAGTTTTTGTTTCAGCAAGTTGACAAGAAATGAATCTGGCAGGGAATTAATCTGTCCGCAGGGAGCCCAGTAAGAAGCTTTACACACACGCATACACACACACACACACACACACACACATATATATATATATAGGGAGGTGCAGTGCAGAGTGCCGTTGCCATAGTGATGGAGTGTGGCGCCACATCATGCGGCAGAGTTAATGCAGAGGTGTGTTGTGTGTGTGTCTCTCTCTCATTTAAGCTTTCATTAAATCAGCACCCTGACCTATTCCAACATCCTCTATGGGAGCACACAGACAGAAAAGGTTGTAGAGATAAATCCAGAGTGTTTCTGTTGAAATAACTTTTTTTTTTTATTGGAACAACTCCAGTCCGTAGCTCCTATTCTTCAGGTGAACAACCATGACTGCTTAAGGTGGGTAATGACATACTGAGAGGAAATATTTGGCAAGGAAAGATAAGCACTCCAAGAAACTGCATTAAAAAGGAATGAAAATGGGTTTTCAAATCATTTCAACCCTGTGTTTAATCAAAAACAGTGCAAAGTATTTAAACTTTTCCAGAAATCTTTGTTCACACAGGCAGTCAAATGACTAATCTGTTGCAAATAAATCTTATTAGTTAGAGGATGTTCCTCCAAATTATTAATTCTCAGCATCACACAACTTTATTGAGTTCAGGGATCAATAAAGTTCTTCTCATCTCATCTTAACGTTTTTCAATGTCTGTTGTCCCTGTCCACACTTTTTTTAAACATATCGCTGGCACCAAATTAAAATTATATGTATTTCATCAAATCTCAGGGTCAATATTTGATATATTTTCTTCTTCTATGTCTTTCTTTCAATTAATTGAGGAATTAAGTTATCTATATCCAATTAAAATGTGTTTTTATTATCATTTTGCTCTGGGTCCTGAGGTTTTTTGGGACTGGGATGAAAGTGGTTACATCCTATTCTTCAGTAAAATCAGAATACCATACTTTGAGAAAAAGAAATTTGCTTTCGTAAAGTATAGATTTATTATGTGAAAAGAGAGTCAGTATATACAATCTTAATCCTCATAAAATGGAAAAGTCTCTTTAGAGTTTCTTGTACACTTTGAGACATATTATTTCTTGGTATAATTAAACGGAGCAGTATAAAGATGCAGCAGGCAGAGTCAAATTTAACGATCTATATTGTTTTTAAAAATTTTCACTTGTTAAATCACGTGCAATTATAGCTATAAAATACACATAAAGAAGCTAATTAAAGCTGAAAGAGTAAATATATACAACCAGAATTGAAGCATAGAGTTTTAACATAACTTTCAGCACTATGTGAAGGTTATAGAATAAATGAAGTTGAGGATCAAACTTTTATAAGAGCCAGGTAGGAAATCTAGTATAGGAAAGTAAGCGCTGCAGTAAGTCAGCCATACTACTCAAACATACAGTACTTTGAACAAATGGCGAGTACTCAAAACAGCAAATTCAGCACAAATCCAAAACACATGGGGCCTGTCTGATCTCAACAGCTTCTGCCTTACGGACCTCTCCTCTGTGGAAACTGACAAAACCTAAGACTGTACAAAAAGAATCACAAATACTACCCTCCAATGTCAGCTCTCAAAGGTAGGTGCTATAAACAAAGGCACAAACTCGACAAAGTTATCTCAGGGGATGATCAAAGATGGAAATCATGACCCTAAAATCTAAGGTAAGTGAGAGAAGTGTTCCCCGCTCCTCCCTCACATTGTGAACCCCGTATGTCACCAAGTTTACAGCTGCACCTGTAACACATTATTGCACTTTCACTGACTGTTTTCCAAGTCCATTCTCGGCCTCATAACCCTCCCTCTTTCCACCCGACTTTTCACAAGGCCCTTTAAAAGGAAAACCCACAATAAGTGAAACTAGCTATAACCGCTGGCCCTGTATGGTGTAACAAATCACAGGGGCTGTAAAGCCGGGGTGTAATTGAAAGTTGTTTAAATGACTCTGGCAGCTCATAAGGCTCAATGATAGCTCTGTCCACCTGGTTGGGAGGCTTAGTAGAAGGAAATTGTGCAGGAACAGACAAGAAAGATATCTGCTAAAGTGGGTGGAGAGTGTAGAAATTAGGCTAGAATTACAGGACGCACCAAATTTGCCAATTGATGCCTTTGTAAACATGAAAATGAGATGTGTAGTCAATAGACTGGGCAGGGATTTGTGATTTATGTCTACAGGGGGAGCAGAGACAAACTCGGTCCATTTATACAATAAACATTCCTATGAGAAATGTTCCTGGAGGAACCTGGGGTTTCTGTGAGGATCATGTTCTTCGACTTTTCAAGTGCATTCAATACCATCCAACCCACCATACTCAAAGACAAGCTCACAGAGATGGGAGTGGATCCTTCCTGTGTTACCTAGATCGCAGATTACCTGACAGGAAGGCCACAGTTTGTCAGGTTGAAGAACTGTGTTTCTGGGACATTAATAAGCAGTACAGGGGCTCCACAAGGGACAGTGCTGGCGCCATTCCTGTTCACACTGTATACGTCAGACTTCAAATACAGCACTGAGTCCTGCCAAATCCAGAAATACTCAGATGACACCGCTATCATGGCATGTATCAGAAATGGACAAGAAGCTGAATACAGAGATTTGATAAGAGCCTTCAGTGACTGGAGTCACAAAAACTGCCTCCTCCTCAACACCTCAAAGACAAAGGAGATGTTCCTAGAGTTCCGTAGATCCAAACCTCCTCTTCAGCCTGTGAACACCTGTGGAGTGGATATCGAAGTGGTGACATCATATAAATACCTAGGTGTACATCTGGATAATAAGTTGGATTGGTCTAAGAATATAGACGTCATCTACAGAAAGGGGCAGAGCTGCCTATTTTGCCTGAGAAGACTCCGATCGATAGACATCTGTAGTAAGATGCTGCAGATGTTTTATCAGTCTGTGGTGTCTACAGTGTTCTGTTCTACGCTGCAGTCTTCTGGGGGAGGAAGCATCAAACACAAAGATGCAAGACGTCTGAACAAACTGGTGAAAAAGGCTGGCTCTGTGGTTGGACTCAAGCTGGACTCAGTGGAGGATGTGGTGGAGAGATCTACACTGAGGAAGGTGGAGACTATTCTAAAGAACATGGATCACCCACTTCACAACACCTTGATGGACCAAAGGGCCAATAGAGGTGGAAGGCTCCTCTCTCTTCGCTGCAGGACAGAAAGATTCAGAGAATCTTTTGTACCAACAGCCGTCAGACTTTATAACTCTTGTGTAAATAGTAGATAACTTTTAGAGACATGTCAAGTGAGACAACAGACAGTTGAATTTCCCTTCGGGAATTAATAAAGTTCTTCTTATTTTTAAGAAAGCAAAGCATAGAGGGCATTAACATAGATCACACCATTCAGCAGTGGTTTTGAGACTGACAGGGGAGATACCCTCCACATATGCACATAGTCTGGTTTTCTAAAGACCAGCAGAATTTAGTATCTTGGGATTTGAGCCAGTATGAAATAACAGACACACACAGGATGTTATTTATAGAGATACATTTAAGACCCCCTGGTCTAGAACAGATTATTGCGTCATTGTGGAGAAATATGTGGCAAAGTACGGCCTGTTTTATGGTTCTACCACATGGCACAGCATGATACCATGTGATTCAGTATTTAATTGGTGTAGTCAGACTTTGAATAAAAGCTAAATCTGTATGTGTTTCCTCAAAGCTCCAAGAATAGCTGTTGTCTGTTCATCTGTTGTCGATCAGCAGAACATCACTCTTCAGGACCATATGGTTCAACACTAGAAGTGAAGGCAGTATCCGTTCAGTCTGTCAATCTGATGTAGTACTGTCCCAGAGTTCTTATCATTTCTGCATTTTGTTATATCATCCTGTCTGGCATGTAAATGAACATTAGAGCTTCTTCTCTTATCGCCAAATATCATGAAAATTTAATTCAGAACATTGGCCACTTGAGCTTAGTGAAAATTGATAATGTGCTTTTGCATATGTCCCATAACAACTCTTTCCTGCACGCATAAATCTTAGATGCGAGCTCGTCTTTATGTTCCCTGGAAAATGTGTTCTGCTTTTCTCTTTGGTGAAGAGCATCGCTGTCTCGTGGAGTTATGTTGAGATGAAAGTGTGTGACATGTTTATTTTCGAGCTGCTGGTGAAGTGAGGGGAGACAAGTGGTTCAGCAGAGTGTGGAGTTTTGTAGACACATACTGTATGCTGTTTAAACTTTTGTTGTTATGGACTATGTTTTGCAGAAGGTTTGTGATGCATGGAAAGCAGCAGAGAGGAAAACAGCTGCTTGTTGTTTTCTTAAGTTTAACGGTTGTAAACAATGAGCAGTGGGCACACAGACAATAACAGATGCAGACAAATTAAAAATACATCAACAAGCAGAGACATAGGCATGCAAAAAATATATGTATGGATGCAAATTTACCTGTATTTCTTCTTAGACAGGCACAAAGGACTTTTGGAGCATCACTTCATGCAAACTCTGGTGTAAAACAAATGCACAAGAAGACAACGTTAGTCCATGATAGGCTATAGTAAGAGATGTAGACTGCTGTGTAAGTAGGTTAGACCCCAGGGGCCTCTAAGACACTGTCTGGTTTCAAACTGCCAAAGAATTATGACAGCGTTGCAACATCTGCTGCCCGAGAGGAAGACAGACAGTGATGGATGGCCAGGTGTGTTTCTGTGTGTGTGTGGAGAAGCCCCGCATCCACATACACAGCCCAGGAAACAGAGCATGCATACTGTATGTGTACATCCACATGCACCTACAAGCAGACGGCCTGTTAAATAAGCAATGTGAGCATCCATGACAGATGACAATATCAATTTTACAAGGAATCAAAAATGAGCCCCTGCTAAAAATTCACAAACACACAGATGCTCACACACATAAAGCCACAAAATCACACTAACTTGTTTGTGATGGCTCACTGTTTAATACCTGTCAACAACTTCCATATGAGCGCATTTCCAGTTGAATAAATAATCCCATCAGAAGAGATAAAGATTAATGATGTATTTATCATCCAATGACAAGAGTTTCATGCTGCGCATAAAAGATCAGAGACTAGATGTCGAAGGCAAATCCTTTTTGATGAGATTACTGAACAGTAGGAAATATAATAACACTTCACTGTCAGGAAAATTAATGCAACATTCACAAAAGATCACATGTACCACACTCTTTTACAGACATTAACATGAACAGATACCTCTTTAAGACAAAAAGAGATGTTTAATCCTTCACATTGCTTTATTATCATGACTGAAAGACATGCTCGTCAATCTGTGACCTAGTCTTAGTCTTTATCACAGTATACCCTACAGACATCATCCCAACCATCCCACAGAGCGGAAAGCTTTGCCTGTAATTACACCGGTGTGTCCCTTCATATATGGCCATTTCTGTCATCACCTGTCAGGAAGATGATACGTAGTAAAAGATCGGGATAAGTCGTGACAAGAGAAACAGATCACAGAAAAAGGCAAGTGCTGACAGTCAAGTCTATACTAGAGAATATCACAGTCTGAAGCATCACAGTCCGTGCAGTTTGTGATAAGAAAGTGACAAACATAGTCATTTGTGTGATTAACTAATACAGGTAAAGATTTTTTAATGTTCTCAAGAGGTATTTGCCCAGCTGGATAATATTTGGTATCCACTGACTGACAGATTTCAGCTGACTTTCTACCCCTCCCTGTCTTCGACTTCTTCTCTTTCTCCGGCTGCTGGTTTTGGGCTGGGTCTGGGTGAAGGAGCTGGGCTGGAAGCTGCAGGGGTCTTACGCCCCTTAGGGATCGGTGGGAGGACAGCTTTGACGTTGGATCCAGGACGTCTGTCAGAAGACAAGACTGAAGTTTGCTGGTCAGCGCCTGGAGGGGGGCTTTCTGAAGTTTGACCTAATGATGTCGCATGAAATTTAACAATTAAAATCAAACAAAATAGACAAACAATTTTTACAAATCGATAAAGAAAGCCTGATTATTTTCTGACAGTTCAGGTATACTACTTACTTAATAGTAAAATTGTAAAAATGATAAATGAAATGATGATAACAGTATACTTACCTTTGGATGTTTCCAGGGTTTGATCCAGAACAGAGATGTCTAGCGGCTCCACTAAACCTGACAAGGCTCCGGCAGAACTCGATACAGACAGACCTGAACTAGCGCGAGACTCATCCGAGCTGCTTGAGAAAGGAGGGAATACAGGGCAAGGTGAGGGGAAAGGAGACAGACAGGTAAAGATAAAAAAAGAATAAGTTCATGTAGGGAAAGTCACAATGAGCTTGTGTGAGTGGGAGACAAGCTGGAGGTTAATAGTGGGTATAGCACTTTTGGAAAAATAAAACACAGCAGAATGTGATTTTGTGGTTTAATCATCAAAATGGGATCACCAGAAGTTGTTATTTAACTGCACAACAATATATTCTAATTGCTCTTTCATTGACAATGACTGTTGGTATTAATTAAACCAAAAGTTTACGATAGTCGTCGACAAATTACACACACACAAACACACAGAAACAGCTAGGCAAAAAAACAGGATGACACAAAGCTCCTCTGTTACAGTATACGAGATACACTCACAAGTAAAGACACGTCCTTATTAAGAGAGCTGTGGACAGATACCTGGAATTCGCTATAGAAATACTGGAAGGCTGAGTAATGCTAACATCACATACTGGGGGCATTTATGGCTCGCTCTGTGCTGACAGAACTTGTAGTTTTGGTGACACTTGCATTCTGAGAACATGAACCCTAAAGGCAATGAATCCAACTTGACTGAACACGCACAGTATCTGTGCATGTATCTTACAGGTCTTCTCCTGTTAAAATGATCACGTTAATTTGATGCTAATTTTTTACATGAGAGATAAGGCTGTCTGTGCAGTTGCATGAAAGACACACATGACATGTCTTAAGTAAGGTAATCCATGTTTTGCAGAAAGACCGGTTATGAGCTTTGGGGCACATACAGCAGAATTCAAAAAGCAGGAAATGCATTTTTTTAAGCGAGCGCAAAAGCATCTGGCCTTATTTGTGATTGGACAACATTGGTTAAGCACCTGTAAGTGTATATACATTAAGTATTTTATGAGTGTGTATTTTTTACCTGCTGTCCTCACATAAGTGGGTCCCAGAATCCTGATTCTGCAGTGATGATGGTGCCGTCTGAACAGGGCTGAAAAACAGAAGACTTAATTCGATCCTCTTTTCTCTCTGAGCACAATCATAACCTTTACATTCAGTTTTTAATTTGAATTGTGTGTATTTGCGCCACTGCACGCGCACATAATAGAAACAAATAGTTAGATGCTAAGAATATGGGCACCTGCCACTTCATCCCCAAGGTCAACAATCACCCAAAACAAACCATCAAAATGCAGTTAGGACAAGAGCACCAATTAAACCAATTTGGCCCTGCAGAGAGTGTCTACTTGAAATTAAGCATTAGAGTGCGGTGGAGTGTGTGTTACTCATAACAGACCTTTTGAAGAGCTGGCTGTAGACCCCTGGACTCTTGCCCACTATAGCCTCTCTTATCAGCTGCTCTCGCCGCCTGATGGAAGCCAACTCCTGCAGAGGTGGGAGATGGAGGGAAGGACAAATTGAAGGAAAGGGAAGATGAAGGATAGAAGAGACAAACAGGAACAGCAGGTAAAAACAATGGAGGATGCTAATATGGAACATGATTGAAAGGGTTGGAGATGAAGAGTAAAAGGAGGGAAATGGAACAGAGAAGTGGTGATTTATGATTAAACATTATATTGGTGAAATTTTATAAAGCCTAGAAGTCTCTTTTACATTCCCTCGCAGGCTTCACGAACAATAAATTTTTCATTTGACATCTCTGAAACTCACAGCGGGGCTCTTCTGCGGGCTGAGTTCCGCATGGATCTTTGTGAAATAGTTCCTGTTCGACGAGTTTAAGGGTTCAAGAGCAGTGGCGGAGTGAGATGTGAGTGTGCCTGATCGAGACCTTGACAAGGGCGAACTCGGCTTCTCTTCTGGCTCATGACCTGAGAGGGGAGGATGGGGTTACGTAGATAAATAAGTGAGATGTGATGGCTGAAATATGTACGATTACATTAAAACAGAGCACTACAGACAATTGCAGCATTTGAGTTACCTCGGAAGTCAGAAGTCCGAGCTGAAAATGACATCACACCCGAGTTACCATTGTTACCAAGTCGGAAAACAGCAAAATCGGAGTTGGAAACAAGATAGCTACATCTACGAAAGTTATTTTAGCGCTTGCCTTGTCGGAATATGGGGCCATCTTGTTTCAGGCCTCCGATTTTGCTGTTTTCCGACTTGGTAACTGAAACACTGGGAACTCGGGTGTGACGTTATTTTCAGCTTGGACATCTGACTTCCGAGGTAACTCAAACGCAGCAAAAGCTAATGTATCAGGATGCCAACAAAACCAATTTACAGCTTCATTACAGGAGAAATGCAGCTATTTTGTACTTCTTTCCATAAGTTCAGGTTAAGATTTAAAAAATGTTGTGTAGTGTGGTGTTTTCTCTGAAGATAGGCCACCATATACAGTAAAATTCAGGAACCTTTCACACAACTGTGGATTCTGAGGGTTTTAGCAATACCTTAAAGAGAGCTAGTAAATTAACTGTAATAAATGGCAGACTGCTCCTTTATATAAAAACTGTTAAAATGGAGAAATGTGTGTGTGGCATGGCTGACTCGATTTGACACCATGTCTTGCTCCACAAAACTTGAGTCTTCTCATGATAAATACACACCCACTGAGTTGTTGTTTTCTCCTTCTTCTTGCTCGTCCTGCAACAGGTACTCCTTCATGACCCGCTTCAGTGACTGAAAGGCTTCTTCACAGTCATCTACTCACACACCAAAGTGCACACACACACACACAAACACACACATACACACAGGCAGGCCCCCACGAAGACAAATGTGGTTGTGAACAGTGCCAATGCATCTCCAATCAAACAGTAATGAATCAAAGATATGGGGATGATGACCTTAGCGTAATGATGTGCTAGCTAGCAGTGCATAAAAGTGATGAGGTTCTGCACTCCCTGTATGTTCATCTCATTAAGGAAACAGCGAACATGTCTGAGTGCTTTCATGAGGGAATGATAAACAGAGCTATTCTATGGCTACGTGCCCTTAATACACGTGGTAATTGGATTGAAAGTGTCGTGTATAGATTTTAGAGAGGTGTGTAAATCTATCTGAGGCTTTAGTTGTGGCACTCATGCTAAGACGGGACATAGAGGGTATTTCTCACTCTGTGAGGCACTACTATGACAAACTGTCTCTTACTGAAACAGTTCTTTGTACTTTTCATTAAATCCAAATGCTGTTTGACTACTGAGGGAAAAAAAGTCACCCACGAGAGGGATTTACATGTTTTCTTCACTTGAAATACAATTTTTTCTGAGAATTAATAGTAGATATTTATAATTACACATTTGTACTGCAATTAAACTCTCTGTGACAAATAGTACGATTGATCTGATTAGCCACTTGAGAATATTAAATTACTATTATTATCCTCTGTAATGCATACTTGAATTAACAAGTACAACATCAAACAACTTGAATGAAAACATTTCATTTCATTAGAACAAACACTTGAGGAACAAAGTGTTCCCTTGTCTTACCACTGGGGATTACATTGTCAAAGAATCCTGGCCTCTGCCTGTTAGTATTAGCGTAGAGCTCTATTCGAGACACTGCCGTATCAATCTGCGCTTGAGTGTAGAGATCTCGGCTTTTCAGCTGGTTGGTGTACTTCTCCACTTTGGTGGGGATGAGTAAGATGTATCGAGGCTCAAAGCAGCTGTTTTTCAGACTGAACACACCCTGTAATGATAAACAGGATAGTTTTAACACAATAAATATTTGATAATTTAGTTTTCTATGAGTTTAAATGCCCTCTAAACTGATTCACACTGTGCTGTGGAGACTTGAATTGAACATGATTAAAAACTTACATCCCCTGGCGTCACACCTCTCTGCACGAACTTGTAAAGGCAATTTAGTAAACCATATCATGTGATTCCTCACTGAGTATCCTGAATTATAGAAAACACTTCTTAGGAGCTTTCGTTCCATCAAAACACAGCAATGGTGCCGAGAAATAAACTTCAATCTCAGCCCCGTGGGTGTGAAAGAAATTGTTTCCAAAACCTCATTGTCAATCTAGCAAAAACAAAACAAATACAGTTTGTGGCTGCCTCATGTAACAGCTTAAAAAAAATCATTGTTTCCTATACTGCCAAGAATTGACTCAGAAAGCCAATAGTGCTTCTTATTAGGGGAGATGTGCACTGAGACTTTATAGGGGTTTGGCTAAGGGAAGTAGATGGCAGATCAGAGCACAGACATTTAATTTAACTCGACTCAACTGGAAGGAGCAGGTCTGACTAAAGTTTATAATAGATAATGAGCTGGTCAGTGCTTTCACAACAAACAAGTCAGGCTTCCTTAGCTCTTAATAAGCAAAAAGGCATGGTTTAAAACACACTGTCACATATTTGTTTGTTGCAGAGAAGTCTTGAGGCCAGTGCAGTCTGATATTTTATTCCCCTGACTCTGTATTAGAACAGAACCGACCATAAAACAGGGACACAGTTCAGACTACTGTTCATACTTTAACATTTCCTTTGTTGCTGGTGGCTCCTCTGTCACTGCTCTGTGTCTGTCAACATATTGTAAAGACCGCATGTGGTTTTGATCTGCTTTATGGACTGCTATACTTAACTTTTCCATACACACCTCGAGCTCCATGTGCACACAGCAGGCGAGCCCTTCGCTGGCAACATCCTCTATGGCGTCTCTGGTCAGACCGTATCTGTGACCTCCATACTGCATGGTCTGGATAAACTTACCCTAAAGGAAAGTTATGAGAAGAGACAATGAGAGAACATTTTGGTGGGCTGTTTTATTGCCCCCTACTTATCGTGTTACAACAGTTATGGGCAACATTCATCTTCAGAAGTGGACACAAGACTTGACATACATACACCACATCTGCATGTTCTGACAAGATTAACAGCCAAAGGTGTATGCCCACCTGTGGACTCAACTTTTGACCTGGTTGTAAAGACAAAAAAGTCTCTCTCTTTGTTACTTCTCACACATGACCCCTGACCTTTTGTCATAATTTATAACCCTCCAAAGCCTGTGGGCAAAATCAGCTGGTGACATCACCTGAGAGTCTCATTTTCAGGGTATTCATATGTTTGCGTACCAGGCCGTGAAGTAAATTACCACGATTAGAGCTAATGGGAGCCAGAATTGCCAGCAAGAGACTAGTGATCTAACTTTCCGAAAGAAAAATATTCCTGGCTCCTTTCTCTCTGCTTTTCAGAACCGCATTCAATCAAAGACATCAGGATATAATAACTTACCCAAGAAAACTCTCCCTTCAACCTTTTGTTGGTGCTCCTGCACTTTCTGAAATAGGTCGCTGACAAGCATTCAGACACTCAATTACAGACACAATGCTTGTGAGGCTTTACTACCAAAGGTGGATGCTATTTAGGCAAAATTGCACAGCAGGTGTTCCTGGTGTTTACAACACACTAAGGAGTCTCGTAAGTACCAACAAGTGCTGATTGGGGTTAATTTTGAACAGCAACCTGAAGTGGGATTAAGGGTTATGATTGCATAGTTACTGAAAATCACATCTGAGGGACAAAGGAGTGATGGGAGAAGGAGCGGAGCGCAGGCACAAAAGTGTGAGGAGTTGGGAAAGAGAGGACGGAACAGCAAGCAGTGATGCCTAAGGATAAGAAAGGCTAACGGGGAGAAATAGACCAATTCAAACAGAAAGAGGTGCTGACTGAAGTTAACTCGGTCCACTTCCTCTGGAGGAGACAAAAGGCATAAATTCCTGCTTCAAAGCATTGCCCTGTGTAAATCACTACATGACCCACACCTCAATCCATCATCCTCTGCCACTCTTACATAACAGGGAGTTTGACGGAGGGGGGACAAGATGGAAAACAAATGTGTCAAAGGCCTCTGACCTCAGCAGACATTACTCTGACTCAAGGAAAACTCTAGGTCCACTCACTGGATTATTTTGTCATCTTCAAAGCTACTAAGATAACAGTTTTGATGGATGTAATACAGATGGAGTTAAAAATCACAGTTATTAGCTGATGATGCAAATACAACTAGAGCTCTCTCTCTCTCTCTCAAGAGATAGCTGTTTTTATGGAATTTTCCAGAGTGAGCATATAGATAACAACAAATATTATCATCCCTTACAGCTTTGATACCTTTTAATAAATGACTTAAAACAACATGTGATAGTTTTAACAAATAACAAAGTTTATGAGTATTCCTATGAGTCAATTTTTTTATCCAGAGCTGCCACATGCAAAGGAAAGAGAAGGGCACTGGTAGATCAACACAGTAATAAAGTAAAGAGAGCGGTCCTGCTAATGAAAGCAAAGCAGTGAAACAGAAAAAGAAGATATTCTTTCTGAAGAACATACCAACACACACACAGCACTGCACAAACACAGAGAAAGGTGCCAGATTTTGTTTGTTTGCAGCGCTTGTTTGCAAGCTCTATCCTTAGGCTGTGTGTCCCTATGCCCTACTCTGCTTTGGTCTCCTTTGCACCTGAGCCTCCCTCAAAAAATGAACACAGAGCAAATGGTTGTAATTCACAGGTCATGGAATACTGACATCTTGTCAAGTCTCATAAAGGGCACACATTCAGTTAATGCCTGTAGTCTGTTGCAGAGAGCAGAGAGCAGAGAAGAGAGACAGCAGATTCAGTCCCCTGGAACTGCACATATTTTATCATTCCTGAACACTGATGATTAAATAACATGGACACCATTAGGGCTCACTGACTGTGAAACCAAAAGACTCAGAGCTCCCCCTACTGACTGGCTGCAGTATATATCATAAAACATGCCTTCTAGTGTTACTGATGGACCTGGGGTCAAACTTCTTAAACATAGCTCCTAACATTTTATTTCTTACTATGCTGACTGATGTCCAACTCTTCATTTTTCTGAGAGATTTCGTTTTATTAGTTGTTTTATTTTAAAAAGATGATTGATTGACAGTTCTGCCAGATTATAAGAGTAGAGGAAGATACAGCTCTACTAGCTGAGCTGTCTCTGTGTACACCTTGTCTGAACCAGTGCAATCTGTCAGTGCCTACGAGGTTGTTTTTGGCTTTCCATCTCACATTTGGCAGAAATATAGTGAAAGTGTCCTGACCTGTTGACTGTAGACAGGTTCACTCCAGTACATACTGAATGATGCTATGAAATATCGAGAGTAAGATACACGGAAAAGAAAAGAGAGCGCTCAGCAGTTCCTCTTACCACCATATACACTTATTCCAGCTCATTTATGACCGCTCAGGGGAATTAGGCTGATTTAATTAGGATCTATAATTATCTTTATGAAGGGCCAATATTTTTATGACCAGTATTAAGTTAACCTTAGATAGCATCTATCAGCATTGCTGTCTGTTCTTGGTTTACTGTTGGACTTGCTGAAGGAGTCATGTCAGTTTGAGAGGACACTTGAAAAAGGTTGAAAACTCAGTTTGTATTCAGTTCAAATGGAGCCAGTCTTTCTCTCTTTGCATGGTTTCTAAACTAACAATAGATAATTATTTTGATGAAACATAGTTATTGCTAATAAAGTCACTTCAAAGATATGTTATGTATGTAAAAACTGAAAAATCACAAACTTCTCACCATGTGTATCATGTTCTGAAATTCCTCCTCACTGACAAAATGGTAATCGATTCCATTCTCCTCTCCAAAGTAGGGCCCCCTTGTGGTGTGACAGGTTCTGCACCAACAGACACATACAGACCAAAAACACACATTCAAAGATACACACAAAATGAAAAAAGAGTTGGTCATGCCACATGTCCAGCCCGATGTTTTACCGTGTCTGTATGTAAATAATCTCATACCAACCACAACTAAAAAGGCCCTGTAGGGGGTTGTGAGCTGATTTATTATCCCTGTGTTTCTGGAAGGTTTACAACAGGAAACCATTCTCCAGATGAGAACCAGGGACATGCCATTTTCCCTAAATATAGGCTTTACTGCAGCAGGAGTTTACCCCAAATAAAAGAGTGGGCCCATTTTTCCAAGACTATTTTAGTGGCATACTCATGCTTGATGCACTGTAAGTTGAAGGAGTTATTGGCCAGTAAAACTGCTCCTCCTTTTCACAAAAAGATTCCCTCGTGGACTATACAACAAGGAATAAAGGACAAGATCTACTATCCTTATTATGTTTATGAATGTATCCTGAAGCTAAGCCAAAGCTAATATGTGGCATCAGCAGTCTGAGTTTGACAAACTGACTGGGTATCTTTCCAGAGCTGCCTTCCCCGACAAGCAGCGGAGGGATAAGTCCTGCTGGCAGGATTGCCAGGACAAACACCAGCAATAATTCCACACGTGACAACCAAGACATGGACTTCAACAACTTGCTTTGGCTAACTCCGACTGCTGAAGTCTCACATGGGCTTTGGCTAGAGTAAAAATGGATTCTGGCAAGAAAAGGAGTTTGAATAGTGTCCCTCTTTTATTACACAAGGGATCACTTAACAAGCAGCATGGACAAGAGGAATGATTAGAGCAACTAAAAGCTGTGTTCATTTACTACAGGGATGAAGGTATAGTGTTAAGACAGACTTCAAAATATCTGACTTCAACTTTAATAACTGTAGACACAGATGGTCACTTTTCTCTGTGTTTTGAACTTTTCCTTTGTATCAACAGATTCGGTTTCCTCTTATTCAGTCTCGCAAAAAATCAACAGCTGAGTTTGCTCCAGCAGATTCATCCTTATGGTGAATATCATCAGCTGAACCACGAACACAGTCTAAGTCATACAAAACAGTATCCTAATCCAACATGTGTTTGAAAAGCTTTACTTTATGTACCAACAGAGCGTTTTTATGTTTCAATGACATACTTATAGTTGATTAATTATTAACATTCAACTGTTTTGTTCATAGATTCAACAGTGTTTACAGCTTAATTCATAGTGCAGGTATTTTTTAGGGAAGCTACCTCAGTTTATGAAAGTCAGATGTGCTTTTAGTGCAGAAAATTTGAAACCAACCCGTAGGCAAAGTATTCACTGAACTCCTGGCACAGTCTGTGGGCCAGCTCCCGCTTTCCACAGCCTTGAGGACCAGTCAAAACCAGCATGGGGTACGGGGAGTCTGCACTGGGTAGAGTGCTGCTTGAAAACACACACACACAAACACGAATAGGTTTTGGATACACTCAAACTTAACAGGTGTGTGTTTTTTTCCAACCAGATATGAACATGACACATATAAATCACGAAAACATGATATGAAATTTTGAAGGCACTCTTAAAATCAATAGAAACAGGAGCCTTGTGGGAAGTGCAGATGTGCTGAGAGGATCCGTGAAGCATCTTAGAGAATCTTAAATTGGCTGTAGCTGCAGTTTTATTCGCTGATGATGGATGTTTTCAAAAATTGCTGATGCATGACTTAGTCTGTATCTTTTATGCGGTAGATAATACAAAAATTCAGAAACACGGCATATCAAATGCTTCTGATCCTTAAAACACACCTGTGGTGTTGATGTTAGAGGATTTTATGATGTGATAAACCAACACAACTATAATAGTAGGGCATCACATTCAGACCAAAAGTCCAGTTCTTACTCTTTCAGATTTCGCTGAACAATATTAACAACCTTACTTTGAAATAGATTTCAGAAAAGGTAGATTATGTTCAATCATGTAGTAGTGTAGTACTAACCTGTCAAAGAGCACCTGGGGCTGCATCAGCTGATACACAAGGTGTGTCATGTGGTCTCGAGCCGCCACCACATCCAAAGGAGGGTCATACTTGTTCACTGATGAAACCTGCAATATTAAATAAATTATCAAGAGTTATAAAAAGTTAGAAATTGTCTATTTAAACTAATAATTTTATGGCTTTTTAAACCTTTTCTTCAACAGTAACTTTCTCTTGGTCCAGCAGAGTCAGATGCTGGAGGAGGAAGACAACTGCCAGTCTGTAATCTTGTTGCTCCTATTCCAAAAAAATCACACAAAACGCAACATTTAATATTCACAACCTATCCTTTTTTCCCTAATTACAGTCCATTCACATTTGATTAATGCTACCATAGTAGAACACTGTGAAATCGGGGAAGAGTTTGTTTACCAGAACAGGGTTTCCCAGCAGGTTGAGTTCCCTCAGGAGGAAAAGATCATGAATGTGTTTGCACTCCTGAATCTGACTTATCTGAAACAAAATTTTAATCACAAAAAATAGGCTTGATAAGGTGAAAAACTTGGGCTGACATATTCTTGTGCTTAACTAACTCTTTCTGAAGGTTGTCTCAGATCAATACCAGGTTTTTCTCTAAATTGATGGAGCCCAGCAGGTGGAGATTCTGGAGGCCAGACAGACTAGTGATGCGGTTCACAGACAGGTCAAGAACCTGCAGATTCTTCAGACTCTCCAACCCTTCAATCGTTTCCAGCTGGTTCCCCCTCTGGACATAGAGAGGATAGAGGACACTTTTGAAGAGACAAGTACGTGATATCCATGAATATGCATGCATACATAGGGGGGCTTCTAACCCACAGCTCTATTTAACATACAGTCGATGATTCTAACTAATAAATATTGAGGACATGCTATGGTCGCCCTGCGGGGTTCCTGATCCTTTTCCCCCTCAGTGCTGGGTTGAGTGGCAGCTCTGCCTCTTCCTGCTAAATCCTGACAGGTGAGGACTGACAGCCAACCAGCTGGCGAGGTGCTATTACAGCAGGCTAACCAACTGAAGAACCAGTCCGAGGCACTCCTCTCTTGTCAGGGTCCCCAGCCTGCCTCTCTCTCTCACTCCATTCCTCCGACTTGAGTTGTTATCTGCCCGTCTGGCCAAACCTCAGCCTTCTTTTGCCAAGCATGTTGCCTGGCAGAGGGCTGCTGTCAGCGGGGGCATGTGACTGCACCGGTCCCCTGAAGCTCCAGGTCGATGCTGTGATGGGCTGTGAAACAGGCTGGCTGACAGGGCTGTGCTGTTTAGGGAGGCAGCATGTGTGGAAGAGGGGTCAGGGATGGGATGAGATGGATGTTGGATAGACAAGGTATGTGTGAGTGTGTGCATGTGTATGAGCTGTAATTGGTTCAGGCTCACTCAAACAGCAGCAGCTGGTCCCAAAGCAAAGCTACAGACAGGGGCAGACGTGGCCAGACCGATGGCTGCTGACAATGAAGAAACACTGATAAAGGACGGAGTACGCATGTGCACACACACAAAAAAGGAGCGAAAGAGAGAGTGAAGGCCTGCTGTTGGACCATATGGCGATTCTCGAACAGGGGGCCAAGGTTTTACTGATTGTAAAATCGCAGCCAAAAACAGAGACATAAAGAGAGACAGAAGGGGAAGAATAGTGAGACAAAATAAAACAGGGGAAATTTATTATTTAAGAGGTAAGAAAGAGCAACTCCAATATAACTCCCACTGTGTAAGTTTAGATACAAAACAACACATGGGGAAACCTGCAGGAAGAAGGGCCATTAATGTGTAAGTGAGAGCAGCAGCCAAGAATTGGCCAAGAAAGTGAGATATGTTTGAGAACATTCGCTCTCTACTGACTTACCAGATAGAGGTGTGTGAGAGGCAGAGAGGCCAGGCCGCTGATCTTCAAGATCTTGTTGTGCGCCAGGCTGAGATGGGTGAGCTTGCGACACTGCTCAAGACCAATGATCTCACTGAAACGATTGTCTGAGTACAGGCAGGTTAAGGGGAAACCGCAGCAAAGCAAAAATGCATTTTATGTGAAAAGTTAAGGAATAAGCTCAGAAAAGACACCTTTGTTATTGTGTGCCTGACAGAGAAAGGGCAAAGAAGAAAGGTGAGTGCTTGTGAGTCCACGTACATAAGGATACAATCCAGATTCAGTTTACTAAGAGATGAGTAAGCAGATAAATCCTTCATTTTTGTCATACGGTTGTGGGAGAAATTGACTTCCTAAAAAAAAAGAAAGCACACTCTAACACAAAGTCAGGAAAGTCTGAGGAAACTTTCACTAAATCCGCACAATACAGGAAGGAATTTTCAATTTGATAGAGTTCACTGTCATTCAAGGGCACTTAATGCCTTGTAAGCATATTCAAAGGACTACAGATGGGCTATGGAAATCCAGGGCCTATCTTGAGGGAATAGTGCAAGAAATTGGAGCTCAAGCCAACAATCAAATGTGGTCCTTTTCTGTCAGCTCAAGGTCCTGTTTTACCTTAAGATTCTTGGGTGGCTGGAATCCAAAGAAGTCTGAGATTTCATTATTAGAAGCATCCAGGACGACGAGATAAGGCATGTGGCTCACGCAGGACAGATCTAGCCATAGGAGAAGTTGAACCAAATTAGAGAAAACATGGCAGTATAAGATGATAAAACTGTAACCCATCAGTGTCTAATTAGATCTTGTTATAAATGTAAAGATGCTTAAAAAGAGGTTAACAGTCACCTTTAATTTTGTTGTGTGGCAGTTCCAGCTTTTGAAGATAGACATAGTTGCACAGAACTGAGACATCCCTCAGATTGTGATTCTACAGCACAGAAAATACCAACTTGGTTAGATTAAATTTGCTTTAGAGAGAATTGTTGTAAAAAACAACCGGACACACTGTGAACAGATCTGATTTTTCAGGGATTATAGGGGAGAGTGGAGTAAGATGAACCATTTTTCATATTTTGGATCACTACATCAAGGCAATCATAATTTTGTCTCTAACTAGTGTATCTGCATATATTTTAAGATGTTGTGCATCCCTGCAAACCAACAGAATGAGTGTAAACATAACTGTCTTGATAATATAGCATGCCAAAAAAGTGGTTTCCTATGGTCAACTTACCCCGTGTATGGGGTAAGTTGATCATAGGAGTGGGGTAAGTTGAGTCGTATCCCTACTAACCTCCCACTCTCCATCCCAGCTCTCCCTCACCTTCTCTCTCCCTAAATAACAGTCACTTCTTCACATTCATGTGTATTTTTATCTATTATATGCTTTTCAACTGGTACAATCATTCTTTTATTGTTATTATTGTATATAACTGCTAAAAAGCTGTTTTGTAAAAGAAAAAAAAAAGGTATTTTAACATGAGAATGCCTTTAAGTGATTTAGAACATTCCCAGTTGTATTTTTGATAAGAAAAAGTTAAATATTTCAACAATCTGAACTGAAACTCTGATCCTCTACTACTACTATGATGACTTAATTAGTCCTCTAAGCTAAAATGGTGGACTTTAATGTTATGTTTTTTACCTCATGTTGTAGCTCATAGATACCACAATTGATGTATAAAACAAATTTAAAATGATCTTTTTGGTCTGAAAACAATTCTAATCAAACTTAGGACAGACTAAATTCACTTTCAACAGTAAAAAATGTTTTTTTTGTAAATAAATGTCTAAATCCTTCACCCATGTGCTTCTATCATTCACAGAGTCCATGAATTGATGCCCATCTCCTAAATATTTGGTCACATGATCAATTTCTTTTACCATTTCCAAGCAACAGGGGGTGGCTCATCTTACCCACTTTTCCCTATATTATGTCAAATGAAAAATAAAGAGAAGCAGCCTATCTCACAGGCAGAGAGAGGTGGTGATATGAGTGTTGAAGCCCGGTGCTGATGTGGCCTGGGTTGGAGATACAGCTGGAGACCACCTCGGCTGTTAAAACACCCTCCTTCTGCAAAAATAAGAGAGCAGCATTGCTTGCATGCCTAACACCTGCAGAATTTTCAAAAGTGAATCATAAGCATCTCTGTGATAAAACTGCAATGCATCTGGCATGAGCCTAAAAGCATGAAACTAGTGCTCACAGCTCCCTGTCCCTCAAAGCACACAGGCACATATTCATGCAGAGCACACACATTATGCTGCTTCAAATGCATGCACATAGGCTCAAGCTGCTGCCAATGCGGTTATCTCAAATTGCAATTAATCAACTATTTGACCTTGCTGTGGTGTTTTACATCCCCAGACCTCTGCCACAAGGTTACCTGTTTTACCTATTGCATAACGGAACAAATATGGAGGTTTATTCAAACTGCTTCATTAATATGAAGTAACTCTGCTCCACTTGGATACTCAAACGCACGTAAACTAGTTTTGTTTTTCCATAATAAAAGACATAAAAATGAAAGAGGCCGAGAAAAAACAAGTTAAGTTCTTAAAAGTGCGTGTAGCTTTATAAATTAATGTAGTTTAAGTATAATACTTCTTACCTCCATCTCGCTGTTTTCCTCTTGCTCATCACAAACTGGCACCTGATCAGAGGAGGCGTCAGTGAAGGACCCTGGGGGGGCAGCAGCTAGGCGACGCCGGGGACAACTGTTTACTTGTCGTTTTCTTCACAACTTCATCGTTTAAGTTGCTCAACCTGTGACTAAAAGCAAACCGCAGTATTCAAAATCAATACTTTGGGTTGAAAGTCAAAATATTGGCTTGTGTCCGGGTTCCAGCCTTTACAGAGGAAAGTTAGCGAAAACGCTGTCGCTAGGCAACCCTGAGACTTGTAAGAGGTGAAGGGGATTGTGGGAAATGAAGTCGGCACCCTAGCAAGCTAACTTGCTTCTTTTTAATCGTTTTAACAGTTCCCACTGGCCAAAACAGAAAACAGGAAAAACAAAAATTGTAGCTTAAAATATAATATTAATGCTACAAACAGCCTTTTTTAGATAGAGACAACAAAAAGGGCAGATAATATCACACACATTTGGATAAATTCAGTCAGGTAAAAACAAGTCAGGGCTCCACGGCAGAAGCATAACAGATGAAACAGAAAGAGGCTAAAAGACATGGAATTATGCCAACAGCAGCAAAGCCTTCTTCAAGTGGAATGCTGCATTTGTTTACTTTACACATTACAATATGCCTTAATGTAGCACTTCATGCTTCAAACCATGTCACACAACACATCACACCTGTCAGGTGAAGGAAATCCTCGAGTGTTGGTTTTGGATCTGATGTAAGGCGCCAAGGTGCGTCAAAACAATGACAGGCTGTGCTGTCATTTGTGGAGGAGGTGTCACTGCATCACACATTTTCCCAAGTGGAAAATATGACCATGAAACCGCACAAGGGGAAAACACCATAGAATATACAAACAGGATGCGAGTTTAATTTGGATTTATTTATTTATTCAGTAACTGTATGGATTGACAAATCATGTGTGCTTAATGAGATTAGACAAACATTTCAGAGCATTTAAAAGATGGCACTAGAGGACCAAGGGAGATGTCAAAACCTTTCAAGACGAACAAAACACACTTCAATACATTCCTATTGATACATGGAAACTGTTGGAATTGATGTAATGTGCAAAATTTGAGTCTATGGTAAAGCAAAATACTTAAAAAAGCACGTGAGCCTAGTTTCATCTTGATAACATTATATATGTTATACCACTGGGTAAAAAAAAAAACATGGACAGCTGGAGTGGTTATTGTTTTTATAGTAATTCAATACAGTGGAGTCCTCTTAACTTGTCTGGTTTATGTGTTTGCAGCGCTGTAATAAAATAATAGTTTTGTGTGCAACATTAGATAGGTGGTTAACATTAAATTAAGGTTCTTTAGTATTAAAAAAGTAGCTCAAAGTGAACAGCTGAATGTGCAGATTTGAGATTTCACACCGAGTGTACGTTTCAGAGTGTTAGGCAAACCCCTCAGCAGCTCCTCTGTTGTTTCCCATCGATCCCAGCCTATGTGTCATTATGATGGATTGCTCCACAGGCTTCTGGGAGACCAGCGGTGAGCCCGCTGTATTGACAAGCCTCCCATTCCCCCCGCGCTCTTTCTCTTGTTAAGCACTTCTCTTCCAAGTTAATGAACTAAAAACAGAGAGGGGGATGATTTGTGTTCGTCTCAAATTTCTTCGTTTAGTTCGTTTTAAATGACTTCAGCGCTTACTGTGCGGACCACAAAATAAAGATTGAGAATTGCGTTGTTGAAGTTTGCAGGGTTTGATGAATGGATGAAATGTTTCCGAATACAGACTCCTCCACACAAAAGTGCAAGTTAAGTTATGCATTTGTAATTTACAGTTTCCATGGTTTATGTTAAAACTTAAGCTGGGAAAAATATTCTAAACCCCTGGCCTTGTTGTCCAATTTGCACAAAATAACTCATAACTTTCCACACTCAGCTTAAGTTTACTGCAAAAGCTATAACACAAAAAGGCAGATAAACAGATTTTCAACAGGCATAGATATGATACAATTCTCAGCGAGGGAAATCTTTAGGGACCAACCCAAATTGGCAGCAGGCGGGAGATGTGGCCTCATTCAGACAGTCTAATCTGGCATCTGTTATTGCAGACAGAATCAGTGGGCCCATGGGGCTGCCAGGCGAGGCGAGATAGAGGTGTAATTGAGAGCAGCAGTTTAGATCTAATAGGAAAATGAGGCAAGATGGGGCCTAAGTTTGGTTGAGTGTCCAAAACAATCCTGTTTTTATGTGGGAGCTGGAGTCATGGTGGGCGTGGGACTCTTTAAGTCGGCATTTCTTGCACCTTTTAAAAAATGAAAATTGGCACTATAGGCTACCTTACGACACAGATTTATAGGGAAGTAGACTTGCAGAGTTTGCACTTGTGTAAGTTGTCACCTTGCTACCCAATTAGAGGGAGTCAGTGCTGCTTGGGCTTCAAAAATATACCTATTTTTTATATGATCTATGAGCCTCGAGCTGGAATAAAGTGTATTCATGTCAACCCTTAACTGCTGTCATATCAAGCAAAATGAAATGAAGAGGGTACGTTTTCTGTCTTACACATTATGATGTAGTTCTGGAGCAACTTCTATTTCAGTGTTTTGTAACTCCCTTCTTATATATCTCCTACTTTTGCTCTTTACTCTTGCAAACATGACCCATTTGTTTTTCTTTACATGTTCCTGCAAGAGAAATCTGTTTTTTTTTGGGATGGTGTCAGAAAGCAAATTTTTTCTCTTTCCCTAGACACTTTCATCTGGTTTCCCTGCTTCTTTTTTACACTGTAGTGATCTTCTTGTCCTTTGTGGCCTGTTTGATGGCAGCCTGCTCACAGATGATCTCCTTCAGCCTCTGTAGTCGGATGTTTTGGGTGCTCAGGTCGCCCACGCCGGTCTGGCTGCGATGCAGTAAGGACAGGGCATTGATGTACTCCAGCTCGGTGTAGCGAACTCCCTGGTCCACCACCAGATTCAACAGCTCATCGGCAGTGTTGTACAGCATCTCATAGTACTGCCTGGAGAGGAAAACAGTAACAGGATGGAAGGGGGAGGGAAATAAAATGGTTAATAACACTTCTTAAAGCTTCTGTTTTGCATAATTTCAGAGCCAAATCAAAAGGAACAACAACAACAAAAAGGGAAAACACAAGATGCAAAACTAACTGATGTTGCTGTCAAGCCCAATTTCCCTTAAAAAGGACTTCAAGGACCTCACCCCGCTGCCACCGGGAGCTGGCTGGTGAAGGGAAAATATTCAGCTGCTGCAAACTACTGAGACTGTTTTAATGAAACACTGTTGACAGAGCCAAAACAGGAAAGAGGTGTGCGCAGAATTAATGGCTCTTTAACTGGGACCTAATGCCACGACAGGCCATTAGAAAGACCAGGACACACATACTGATAAGAGAAGGAGCTCAAAGGGGGAGCCAGAATTGATGAACTATGCACATTTCCAGACAGAAAAGGTCAAATATGCCAGACAGAAGTTAAAACAGGCTGTGTATATGTGTGTTTTTTAAATACCGCTTGTCTCTTTTTATTTGTTATGGAATATTTAAGGGTAGACCTCTTGTGTGCATTAGTGCAGGGTGTAACGCTCATTAGAATAAACTCACAGGAGCAGACAATCTTTGGCAATGAATATGGATACTAGTGGAAGGGTTACTAATACAATTTACAGCGCTGGAGGTAAGTTGCTGCTCAGGGGAGTGTTGGGGTGCAGGATGGACAATATTTCTTTGCTTGAGGGCAAAACAGGTCAAATACCACCGAGAATTTGTTTGTGTAACTGTGTTTGAGGAATTTTGACAACAGCAAAGTACAGACACACTCGAAAGAGATTTAACAACCTTCTGCCCCCGGCTATGAAACAAATCCCACTCCCCGAAGATACACGATATGTCACACTTCCATACAGCTGATGTAGAAAGGGTCAGACCAAGATGGCTAAAGGATGTGGGAGAATGTTACAGAGTGCAGCTTTTAAAAACACACTCCATTAAACAGCTTTGTCTCTATAGCACACGGTTTCTTAGTTTTCTAAATCTGCAGTGTCTCACTCTCTTAGCACTTTAACTTCTGTTATATCTGGATTCCTTACCTTAGTTGGGTGATTTAGTTTTAACTCTCCCACAATGCCATGCTGCTGCACTGTCCCTGCTGATCTACTAAGATACTATAGAGTAATGATCCTTACTCTTTCTGTTGCCACTATGTTCTACAGTTAGATGTTTCACTTATGAATAGTTGCTGTGGAAAAAGAAAGTCTGCTGTACTTGCATTTTCTGCCCCCTCGCAGTAGTTGCCAGCATCTCTTTGCCAAAGGTTTACTTTGCTTCTGTAGATCATAAAGAGGCTTTACTGACATTTTCAGTCCATTTCATAACCAGTTGAAAACTCCACACACCATCTTCAGCTGCAACTTTATCTAAAGGTGATTTTAAGTATACTATCTGCACATAATAATCCTCGGGGTACGCTATGCTTTGCGTATTTCAAGTGTGTAATATCTTATATTGATCTTGTTTGTTACGCTGCGTCTGGAGAAGCCGGTTAAAAGAACCTAACATAAACCTACCTGCTTGTCCAAGGGCGAATGCCATTTACTCAGTAGTAGTAGCTCTTACTGCTCTTACTGTGAGCGCAGCCTTTCAGTGAAGATAATTGTAGATCTTGCTCTATTAGACTACAGGAAAGCCTCAGAGGATTTGTGGCTGTAAAAAAAAAAAGGTAAGGTCCACCTGTTTTTTTTTTTTTAATCATTCATGGTTTGACTGCTGAGATAAAAGCAGTAATTTGTTATTTTCTCTATCAGAACATCTGGAAAAAGAGGGTTAGGCTTTCTTTTGTGCCCGAGGAGAATTAAAGTAAATGGATTCAACTTTCTAATATTGCGCAGTAAAAAGACACTTTAGTGAGAAGAGATATTTTTATCTGGCATGTTTAACTCCGGCACCCATCCACGACCCATTCTCTTCATGAAATGATCATTTTTGGTGCTAACGAGGCGTTAATGAGCACTCGGGGAGCTTCTGTTCAAAGGTGTTTTATGTGCTGTCATTGGTGGAGATTCAACAGCTGAAAAAAGACCTAGAAAGAGTAATGGAGTGGTACAATAAAAGAGATGAAAATGCAGAGGTAAAAAAAAAAAGAGTGATGACTGAAGAGATGAGTGAGGAATAGATGTGCATAATATCTGTTTTTTGGCCTTCCCCTTACAAGTAAATGCCCTTGGCCATTCAAGCAACCAAGCATTTGCATTCTGTCTCACTCTCCAGCCTG